GACAACAGCAAAATACTCAAAAAGGGAAAAGATAAACAAACAGAGGAAATGGTACACATTAAAGAAATATTCAAAAGAATTGTAGAGGTGTTCACCTGCCACAAAATGCTGCCCAGTGAAGTGCAGTCCATTCATTCACATCACAGAAATCAACACTTACACCAGCAACTATAGTAGGCTCCAAAGCCCAATCATAGCCAAGTGCAGCTGCCAAATGTAGAACACCTAGTCCACCCTCATCCAATATACGAGGGCCATCACCTCCTTCAGCTACCTTCTGTAAGATCCATTCATGCAACTTCTCTTTCAAATGCTTCTGCAGCAGCTGGTCCTTTAATTTTTCTAAGCAAAATTCCATTCCTGAACCAGTCTTCATCTGGTCCAATTCTTTGTTGTCCTCTTTCAGCAATGAACTGATTTTACTGCTCAACTGGGATGCATCCTCTAAGCTGCTGGTGACAGAATTAGTGGCACTGGAGCCTGACCGCAGCATTTTAACAAAACGTGGAAGAAGATTTGCTTCAGCACTGTCACTATAGTTTTCAGCAGCATTTATATCTTGGACATCCAATTTCCCTTCAGGGGGAATGCTGGAAACATCATTCTCATTTTCATTCTCACCTGTTTCCCCATTGGCCCCAGAACTAAACATGTTCTTTGAACCTTCTTCTGTTAAAATACCATCAAACAAATGCTCTGTATCCGAAGAGTGGATTGATTTTCCCTCCAAGTTGAAGCAGCCATCTGGATTTGGTTGTAGAGCATAATCATATTCATCATTAGATAGCAGTGTCCGAAAGAAATTTTCCGTTAAATTATCATTTCTTATATCTGGACGTTTCAGCTGAGGGTAAATAGAATTCATTAATGCAAGGTGATTAACTTCTTCCATATGAAATTTAGAAGTTGTATCACATGCTGAGTCTGAATGTAACTTCTGATCCATTGGCTGCTTAGATAAAGATGAAGAATCCTCAACTGAAGCCTGTTTGGAATTAAGATTAAAGACTAAACCACATGATTAAACTAGAAGCAAAATGCTAGATATATATTATGAGATGATGAACCAGAATTTTAGCATTGTTAATCAGTCAGTACCTCAGATTCTTTTTGAATCTGCGAATGCACCCCAAAGTCCTGCCTTTCAACAATGCTGTTGCTGGAAAACTTACCCATGATATCAGGACATGAGGGGGAAAACAACGATTGATCCTCAATGGACTCAGTACAACTATCCAAGATATCTTTCCATGACATATAATCAAAGCTTCTCCAGGGGTCATGGGCTAGTTCAGCATCATTATCACTTTTGCCCTTGTCTGGTTGAGTGGGGGGCAAATCTATGCAAGGAATGGCTGACAAAATATCATGAAAACTATTTGTTCAGAGGAAAAAGTAATAAGAATTAGTGAAAGCTGAAAAAGCAAACTTTAACTCAAAATAATAAAATAGCATAAAAAACTGTTTTACTTGGAGAAAACAGAGGACCATAAGGATCAGAGCCTCCGGCATCAATGTTTTCTGCAGCAGAATGTGGCAGTTCAAGACCCGAGTGCAATCCAGAACTTGGTTGGTGATTGTATTCTATATCGACCGTCAAACTCATTAGTGAATATGAAAAACATTAATGCATTCATCCAGAAAACTATGTCACATTTTCTATGATATCCTGGAAAACCTAGACATATTGAAACTAAAAAAGGCTCACCTGATGAAGCACTTTCATGTTCCAATGCCTGCACACAATTCACCCACGTTGTAACAGTATTTTCAGTTACATAGCAATTATTTAGATGAGAACTGGAAGGCATAGAACCGTCAATCTCAGAATTGGGCATAATATTTTTGGTTTCTTGGGAATATGGACCTGCTTCTTGAGTCTCTTTAACACAACTAGAATCTTCCATTTTTTCCTGATACAATTGGAAAGAGAATATAAGAAAAAAGAGGTCTATGATGAAACTGTTCAGGCATCTTATTGATGAGAGTAAAGATTACAAAAAGTACAGGATCCAAATTTTACTGTGTGAACATCCAGTCCACCATCCAGAAATGTATCTTAACATATGTGCTATAACTAGCTTCTCTAGTAGCAAAGACATTGAAGATTCTAGATGTAAGTTTGATGTCCTTAGCAGGCTGTGTTGTTAATGAGTAAGGTTACTTCCCTTCAAGGACAAAAAAGGCACCAAGGCAAAAAAATGGAGAGGAAAAACATTGTATAATTCAGGCAAGTGACAGATTACAACCTCGTTATCACCCCCATGAAATCATCTATTCTCTTCACAGGAAAACTCAACATCCAGCACTGGGATGATTCGGGGTAAGGCCACCAAAAAGAGTAAAGAAAAAAATGACACCAAGGACATTTCTACCAAAAAAAGGAAAAAATAAAAAACGAAACTGAGGACAGAAAAGGATTGAAGAATTGAAAGACAAAACGCCAAGACCAAGGAAAAGGGTGTAAAGACATACCTGGTTGGAATCCAGGAAATAAATTAGTTCACATACCCAAATAGGATAAGCTCTATTAAGTTATGGAGTTAAGGATGGTAGACTTTAGATTTAGACCCAACATCAAACAGCCTGATAGTTTATCAGCATACTCCTATAAATTTGGCTTAATTTAACTTCAAAATTTGCAGTTTATAACTTTATTCTGGAAAGCTGTAAACTGGTTCAGCCACGTGATCTCGAGTAAAAAGTAGAAAATAAATTTCATAAGTTTACTTTGGAAGAAGGCTGAATGAAACAAAAAAAGGAAGGAGTGATAGACAAATCATAAATTCTAACTGTTACTTCCAGGTAGTGGACAAAAAAAATGTGGGAGAAGTCCCTGCAGTAATGGTTATTTATGTTAGAAACAGAAGAGAGTTTGAAAAAATCTACATGCAATTTGCAATCACCAAGTTAATACAATCCAACCAACATTCTCCCACTTCGATCCCATTTTTCTGAAAACAAGCTGGGGAACCTGATCATAATATAAGGATGTTGTTTTGTTGGAACAAATTCAAGTTTCTGAAATTTCACTTACGCTACCATAAGTCCTATAAGAAAAGTGTAATTAGCCCTCTAAATTTCACATACACTTATGCTATTGTAAGTCCTAGAATGTTGTAAACCCCATTAGCCAATGATCTCCTTAGGA